GGTGAAACAATGTGATAGGTGAAAATAGGACTTCATATTACTTTTCAGTTATGTAATAACAATACTTTTACCACCCAAGTAAAGCACCAAAAGAACTTGCTCCTATTTGTAAATGCCATTTTCTTTTAGCTCTCAGGCAGACACCTGAGGCACTGCATGGTTGGAGGGGTTATTGCCCTTTGTAGTTGCAGCCACTTAGGGCTTGGGCTTGTGCCTCAGAAGCTTGGCTGAAGGCTCCATTAATTGCCAGTAATGCAAAGCTTGTTGTATCGTAGTGCTTAATTATGCACTTTTCTTCCTCTCCGTGTCATGCCAAGCAGATAGGAGTAAGGCTTTGGAAGAGAACTTAGTCCAACTGTGTTGATCACTGGGAAGTGTCGAAAAACTGAATACAGCATCCTGGAATAATGGAGAGTAGACAGAACCTGAAGTGAGGATGTGCATCTTCAGTGTCCAGGGAAGATCTTTTTCTGTTGACATGAACAGCAAAGTGACTTGTAAGACTCGCACTCTTTAGGAAAGAGAGCAGGAGAGCCCATCCTTCTCCCGCAGCACGGGCAAAAAGCTCTCTAAACCTATCATGGTGCTAAAGTATGAAGCAGGTCTACCCTTTGGCTGCAGGTGATTACTCCCAGTGGAAGGGATCATTCAAAGACATTTTGACAACATAATCTATTCTTGTGTGCTCTTTCTTCATGCCCATGAAGCTCTTTGTGCTTCAGTGAGAAAAGCTGAAGAAGCAGGAAGCCAGAGTTACGCTATATGCAGAAAAAAAAGAAATAGGAATTCTCTTTAAGGCACGAAAACTCACAGCAGGATTTGCTGTCATCATCTTCTCTATCCCAAAGCAGGCTGGGGACCTGCTTTCCACAGAGAAATGTTATTGATGGTCTTTTCAGAGCTGATCCTCATCTCATAATTAAAGAAGTTAGACACATGGTCACCAGAATAGCTACTGCTGCTCCTGAGACATTTAACTTTCATATTCAACATCAGGAATCTCTTAAATTGTTTTATATTCCCTCATTTCTGACAAAACTATTTCCAAGACAGCTAAGGCTGTCACAGATTTAAGGGTAGGTGGGTCCAACCTAAGAAGTTATATTCTGCAGTCAGATCTCCTCCTATTGGTTATTTTGGAACCAGGCTTTATCCTTCAGTTTGTATCTAAAGTATAGTTTTACCACTAAGAAAGAAAAAGACTGCTAAAATGCATTGGAACAAGTTGAAAAAGAGTTAGTTAAATGCAAACAAGCATTCTGCACTGCAGTATCAGAGTCCAGGCTCGGGGCTGGCAGTACAGCAGCTTCCAAGCCAGACACTCGTCATCACCCAGGGGTGATTGACTCTGGTAATCACTGATGGATCTCAGTTGCCGGGAGGAGAGATAGGCTGAGCAGCTCCCATGTGCCTTGGCTAGCACCTGGAACAAGGAGGCAACTACTGAGAAGGGAGCAAAGCCACAGGGACCTGTGGGGGACGGCTTCACTCCGGAGGTGGCCAGTTCAGTTGTGCACTACTTGGAGCCCCGAAAGGCTCATGCCGTGTGTGGCAGAGGCCATTGCCTGTGGCAACACAAACTGAAAGGAAAGCACCTTTCCATTCCAGAAAGTGAAATCTCAACAGCTATTTCAATCTGAAAACGAAATTTTTCCACTGTCCTTGATTTTTTTTTAAAAAAAAACAAAGTATGCTTGTATCTCTATGCCACTCTGGGAACGTGCTACAAGCATTTTAGTGGCCTTTGTTTTGCCAGGCAGTGCTAGGAGCCAAACCCTAAATGAGAACTGAGCTCTTGGGGTGTGAGAAAGGGCTTCTGCAAAAGGGTTGTGGCCAAAAGATGGGCTCCAGTTTTCTCCTGGGTGCTTCATCCATCTGGCTATCATGCTAAGGAAGATTTACGACTTCAGGTAGATGTCTGCCACACAGCCCAGGAAGGGCACTGTGCCAACATGCAGAGCACAGCTTAAGAGAGACATGTTTTAAATCCATGATTTACTGTTAGTTCCATTTACCTATCCCATCTCCCTGTCCGTTAGATGTTTGAACGGGCTCTCCTGTATTCTTTCTGTGACCAAACCCATTCCCATGACCTGTCTAGGTCTAGGGGGGTCTAGGTACAGTTTTACTCAAGACCACTTTTTGTCATCTAAACACTGGCTGGACAGATCTAGTGGAGAGGAAAGGTACATGCTCCTGCCATAGCTCTCCCAGTCCTGCCAGACTGGGGTGCTTAGGGCCTTCACACAGTAGGTGCTACTGAGTTTGGCTTACCCGAAGGTTTTGGCAACGGTGCTTCGAACGTGGGACTTCTGCCTAACCTGTCTGTCTGCCAAGGATTTCAGCTTTCTGTCATGGGAGATGTTTTGGGTTGGGTTGAACTAGCAAAGAAAACAGTTATGCTACTTGCTATTCCAAATCCAAGGCTCGCTATGTTAGCTTAAGCTTTACGCTCTGAGAATGAGCGGTAGCTTGCAAAAGTAATCTTCCAGCAAAAAAAGCAAGAATCCCCATGTGAAGCAATTAAGCTCTTTTCTCCCCAGATCACTGGTACCCCCAGTTACTCAGTTTTCGTGCCACCACTCCTACCATAACTATTCATTTCCCCTTTACTGCCTGCTGTCCTTCCCAGCCCCTCACCACACATTTTGCCACTGGTCTCTGTTCCTCTGTTACAGACGTCTCGTAGGCTCCCAGGCTCTCCAGCTGATGTTTATTCGCAGCTTGTCCCAGGCCCTGCACTCCTCTGCCTTGTCCCCAGTATCCATGGGAACATCCTCAGTGTCCCACGGCTCAAAACAGGGATTCAGTGTCCACCTTCGCGTTAGAGATTCACTCCTCATCTGCCACATGAGAGAGTGCCCTGCCTTCCTACATGATGCAGGGTTTGAGAATAGACTTTTCTACATTAATTCTGTATTCTTGTGTCCGTCTTCTAAGTTGAGAAACTCTTCCTTTGCCAGGATCTGAAAAGACAAGAGCTTTTTTTCTAAACTTTTGGCTGGCAGAAGTAAAGCCACTGAAGGCAGTTTCCCAGCCACTGTGTGTCCTCCCCCCACAAGCTGGCCTATGCTCACTTGCACGCTTCCTCCCCACCACAGCACCACATCCCCACCCCAGGGTGTTGGGGGAGATGTTCAAGGGCAAGTAATTGCTGCTGCCTCTGGGGAGACCGGAGCAATGGTCCAAACTTATTTGCCCCAGTAAGTGCTGTTCCCTAAGTCAAGTCTGGGGAAAGGCTTGAGCCATAACAGGGACCGTTTTCTTCTTCATATGCTCAGAAAGCTGAATGAAGGAGGGAAGCTGAAGCTCCTGCCGCTCCTGGCACCACAACTGTTTAGTAACTTAGCACAGATATCGAGTCCTGGTCCTAGGAAGCTGATTAATCCTCCTGAGGACCTGTCCCTGCCTCTGGGGTACTTTCTACATGGCAAGTCCAGCAGGACGAAGCAGCTCAAGCTTTCCAAGATTTATATTCACTTGCTGTTTCTCAGCAGGGTGTCACCGCTTGCCTCACCCTCATTGACACCAGGGAGGTCCATAAATCAGCTGCACAGTGATAGCGCAGCCCTCCCGATGCTCATTATGCATCTTGCTGCTGGAGGAAAGCACCACCTTTGGTGCCAAGTACATTAGGGAACATGCCTGGGTTTAAAAATACTCCATGGGAGGGAATCACAACATTTCCAAAGCTTGGCCTCTTGCATCACAAAAGTAGAGCATGCTCCTCACCATGTCTTGGGCAATAACAAAAGCCCAAGGCCAACAAACAAAGTGAACAGCTTTCAAACAACAAAGCTGCGCTGGGTTTTGTATACAGTGTTTGTTGCCACAATCTGGCCCAGAGTCACCATCTCGGATTTCCCTGCCAGAATGATGGAAATATAAATAGGGGCTATAAACCCAAAGTATTTCCAGCTCATACATCCAAAGGATAGAAATTATAGTCTCTTAGCAAGGAAAATGTTCAAGGGTAGTGAGGTAATGGGACCTGGTTACAGAGCTCATTTCTCTGAAAAACTTAATACAGCATGGAAATTTTTCTAATGTCCTTGATGCAACCTTTGTTAAAGTATAAAATAATCCCCTGCTTCAGTTGAAAAGCCCCTTCCATGCCTTCGAGAATGAACTGTTGAGCTCCATTTTGGGAACAGTTTCTTTCCAGCTGCTGTTTCCAGAGACTCCTGAATGGCTCCGTGGATTCAGCGTCAGCAAGGAATGAAATCTGGCTGTTTGAAAGATAATCCGTCGCCTGTTGGCTTACCTAGAAAGGGCCTCACTTTTCTGTGCGTTTGCTGAGAGCTGCTGCTGTTGAACCATAGGAGTCCCGGCTCCAGCCTTGCTAAATAATATTCTGGAAGTCCACGCCATGAGTCACAGCACTGTATGAGGGGCTCTGCTCATCTGATTAATTACATTACCATGCCTTCCCTTTACTTGTTGACTCATAGCCGTAAGAGCCCGGGATGTGCTGCGTATGTAGTAAACTGATTAAAGGGGGAACGTATGTCAATGTATGGATAGCTTTTTAAAATCCCTTATGATCTTCCCACCCACTGGGCATTGCTTCAATATCGAGTTCAATCGTCAGGAAACAAACTTGCTCCCTCATCTGCGTCGCACATTGCAACGAGTTTGCCAAATATGGCCAAGCTTTTAGAAAGAAAAGAGAATCCCCCCACCAGTGAATTTATGACCCTTGGCTCCGCTTGGGGCTTGTTCCTGTGCATGCCTGAGTGACATGGAAACTGCAGCAAATCTGTTTGGCCTGTTTCTGTGTTCTCATGCTTGCAGCTATGTTGGATTTTTCCTTTTTTTAATGACTAGGGCTTTCTGTTTGGTTTGTTACCTTCCAACGCAAGCAACCCATGACAAGAGGATGAAAGAAGAGCGATGTGTGTTAATGAAAAGAAAGGGGAAGGGTGGAAAAGAAACAAGGGGAGGCTAGAACTGTTGCTGAGCATTTGAAAGTAAAACGTCACTCCACTCTTCTCTTCCAGGTCCTTCAAGCCGGACTTTGTCCTGATCCGGCAGCACGCCTACAGCATGGCACTGGGAGAGGACTTCCGCAGCCTCATCATCGGCCTCCAGTACGGTGGCATCCACACGGTGAACTCCCTCTACTCCATCTACAACTTCTGCAGCAAGCCCTGGGTGGTAAGTGACGATCCAGCTCTTCTGCATGCAACACTGCAAAGTAGATATCTGGTACCAATAAAGGACCAGACTCGGCTTCCAGCCTGTTTCAAAGGAATTCATCCCTTCAGGTTAAAACCACCATCTAAACAACCTTAGGAATCCAGCTGGGAATTCCTGGGGGAAAAAACTACCAGCACTGCTCCTTTAACAGCTTCTAGTAATATCAAGGTGTTATCTCCTCACCCTGAGTAGGGTGTTTCACCTGTCCCAGACTCTGATGTGCCACAAGCAGCTAACAGTACAGTAACACCTGGATTTCTTGTAAGGCAGAGTAGATGAACAGTAATAGATTAATAATATCCGATCAATAGTAGCACATCTGTCCTGACCGAAACCCAGTAAGACTACCTTAAAAGAAACACTAACTTTTGCTGGTTTAGAAGGCATCTGAACTGCACTATTTCTAGCATCTTTTATTAGATGCACACTTGTGGTATCCAGGTTCCCTGGCCTAAGATTATCCATTCCTTGCAGAAGGGCCAAGTGCACTTGTCTTCTCTTCCTGCTTTTTCTGGATGGTGCTTTGTTGTGAGGAAATTAGCTGAAAAGAAAGGCAAGAAAGGAAGAGAGATGATTTCTTCAACAGCTAGGTCTAGGAAAAAAAGGGATCATAGAATGATGAAGACCTGGGAAAGAGGCAGAAGGAAAGAGGGAAGTGTGTAGAGTTTTTCAGCCGTTTCAGAAGGAAATACAAAATTATCATAAGGTGTTTGTTTATTGAACCTGAAAGACTGCACCTCAGAAACACCTTGGGCTGAGTAAGCTCCTGGGGAAAACAGGGCAGTGTTTTGATATTTTGCACTGGGAGCCCCCTTCACCCATTCTTTAATTTTTGTCAAGTTCACCTAAAAATCTCAGAAAACCTTAAAAGATACTGTCATTGGCTTTTTTTGACCAGGGAGAGCCAGAGGAGCAAGGCTGGCCATTGTAACACCTGCAGGAAGAAGTCAGGTGCTGATACCATTTTGGAGGCCGCATCTGGGTCTTCCAAGCACTTTCATCCCAAAGTGCCCTCTCTCATCATGGGTGCTCCCAGAATGGAAATTTCCCTGCATTGGTCTAGGCCCAAAGCAGGCTACAGGGATGTGACAAGGAGATGGGACTTTCCAATATGCCCCCCATGGAAAACTTTTAGATATGTTTTTAGGAATTCCCCTTACTCATTGCACAAATATAGCCTGGGGTGAGACAGAATGTTTATAGCAAGTGGTAACTATCTTCCTCATTACCTAATTAAGCCTTTGTTGTTGTTGTTTTTTTCCTTGGAATAACTATCCTATTAGTCTTCAGCGTGTTGACTGGTAGTTCAAGTCCAGCTGAGGTCTGTAATGACTCAGATTTTTTTCCATGACTATGCAGTGTTGGATTTAACTCATTTCTTACCAAAAAGGTACCAGTGGAATAGACATGGTCGTCTCAATTTTCACCTCTTTTATGACAGTTGTGTGTGTGTGTGTGTGTGAGAAGCAGGGCCCTATCTTCTCCCAAAATATTTCAGTGCAGTAATGAGAGTAGTACTTTTCCATCACTGTATTGGTGGATGATGCACATTTGGCCTCAGTCCCCATTTGAATGATGAGGGTTGCTGGAATAAGAAAGGGGAGCAAGAGAGGGATGGAGTACCAGGCTCAGTCCAACACCTTTGCATTGGTTCCTACAGTTGGTCCCACACCAAGCGTGTTGGCCCCACTGACCAGACAAAAAGCTTGCACATTTGCACTGGCTTTTGCTGAAGAGGACAGTCATGTGGTCTGTTCTATCTGATTTTGGGGTTGAGTCAGTCACAGTTTAGTTGACATTTTTCAACTCATGCCTTGTAATTACATCTCTGATGGTGTGCAGGAGTGTGAAGATGTGACAGGCCTATTTTTAGGAGTCTAAAATAAAAGAAAACAAACAAACTCAGCACATTGAAAAAAAAAAGGAAAAAAAAAAAAAGAAAAAGAAAAAGCAGAGCTGGCAAGGCAGTGTGGGAGAAATTGGCTCTGCCAGTAACTTGGCTCTAGCTATTCTGGGTCCAGTTGTGCCATGCATTCCCCAGGGGGAATGCTGCTGGCTCAGACAACCTTCCCAGAGGAGTCAAGGAAACCACTTGTAAACACTTAAAACAGGTTTGCAAAATGCCTCCTTTCCCTGCTGGCCCCCCCCCCCACACCACCCCCCAAACCCATGTCTGTAACGCACTAAGTAATGTAAGAGCTCAGATGGGATTTGAGCTGGTATTTGGCACCACTGAAATTTTATCAGGTTGAAACTCAGGTACAGATTGCACCGGGGCATTTGAGGGCAGAAAGCTTCACTGGCAGCAGAATCAGAAAATTTTGATTTTGTGATAGCTGGGAAATGAGAGATAGGGACGGACCACTTTGGTGCATGTTCCACTCTGATTGCAAAACAGGCATCTTGAAATAAGGGATCTGCTTAACAAAGATTACTGGAAAAATTTTGGACCTAAAACAGTTGAGATACATGAAGAAATGAAATTAAATACTCCTGGGAAATGTGCTTTTCACTCTCCCTTTTTATTTTTTTCCAAAAATGGTTCCATTTCATAGAAATGTTTATGATTTTGTGGAGGGGGATGGAAGTGAGACTGTTTTTCCTTGGCAATTTGCAACAATGTTTTTTCTCAGCAACTCTAATTACAATCAGCTGAGTTTGGGCTTGAGTTTACTCAAACATGCAGCCCCATTTTTTAATGACATTTTCCAGGTTTCCAGTACTGCAATACACAAATTTCTTCAAAGGTTAAAATTTGCATTAAACACAGGCACGGTTTGAAACAGGCATTTCTGAAAGAGAAACAGGCCTGTTCAGGGGGAGCTCACACCCAGAGAAACATCTAAGAAACCCAAGTTTTAAGATGATTCCAGGATTATTGAGAAATAATGCTACAAGCACCCTAAACACAATGCTTCAACCACTAATAACAGTTTCTGTGTTATAAAAGTTTCAATAGAAAATACGGTGGGAACCATGCTCAGAGTGGCACTCACAGTCTGTCACTGTAAGGCAACTTCTGCATCTGTAAGACTGCAGGCCGTACGAAGGCTTGGAGACAGGCGCCTACAGAGTCCACAAGACTCCCAGCTAAACTGTTATTGCCTGTCAAGGGGTATAGGCTCCCTGATGAACTCAGAAACTTTAAAAATATGCAAAAGGCCTTGAGATCCTCTGAATTGATCTTTTTATTTCTCTGTAAAGACTCCCTGCGAGTAACTCTGATGTCCCACCAGCCAGGCAGGGCACCTCCCTTAAAACCCAGACTGTGCCACGTTGCCTTGCCCCAGGTCTTGCTTTGTGGTCTGGATGCAATCTCACTGAAACCAGTGGAACTACAGAAAGTAAGAACTGATACCAAAATGTGGAAGGGGCAGTTATATCTGCCTATGAGCTGCTGACAGTAATGTTCCTACCCATTTAAAATGCACTGGGAGGCGCTACTGGAGCTCTGCTATAGGGTGTCTAAGAGGCTGCTGCACCATGTAACATGGGTGTCTCTTTGCCAATGTCCTGTCTCTAAAAATTGCCAAAAAAAAGGACAAAAGGAGGCAATTGTCCCATGAGGGCCAATACCAAAGTCAGAGCTTTTTGCAGGCTTGGCCCATTGAGGGAGCTCCCAGATGGCTGAGTCTCTCACTGTCCATCTGTCCAAAATAATGCTTGTTATTTCAGCAACGGCCAGGAGCTGTATGCTTCAAAAGGAAGCCCGAGGAACAAATCAGGATGCTGTCAGCTGCACAATTTTTCCAGTTATTTTGTTTGAGCTGTTTTTTCTAGGATAAATGTACATTGCCTCAACGTCACGGCATCCATGTTTCGCCAGGGCTGCGTGCACACACAGCGAGGGGCGTGCTGCTTTCAGCCAGGGTGTTTTTCCTCCTCTCCCTGTCTCTGTCTCATTCTGTTTAACTTTTAAGCCCTGTTTGCTCACTTTGCTAGTCAAAACAGGGCTTTATTTTTCTTCTCTGGGATGTGCAGAGCTAGTGCAAGTAGTTAAGAGAAGCAAGCTGTCCTCCTTCCCCAACATCAATACTCTCCTTGCCAATGATAATTACTCTACACAGGGAGTTTTTCTCTTATCTGCTGATGCATTGGGGGGGTGGGGGGTGTTAATGATGGGATATGGTGCCTCTTGATGTTTTCTGGGTTTGCTTCAATGCCACTTTTTGACCTACAAGATTAGCAAAAGGATTCTTTGCATTTGTCTGCAAATCTGCTGGCAGCTGGCCCTTCAGCATGTGGCCTGGGACCAGCACACACCTTGCAGCATAATTTTTTTACACCCTGGCTGCATTTTTTTACATCCGCACCACCGTTTAACTCCCAAAGGGGTATTTCTTCTCCACCACCAAGTGAAGTTTCAACTTCTTATACAGAACTGCTTTTGCTTAGGCTAGCCCAGTAACCAGGACAGGAGCCTTAGTGTAGCCACTCAGCAGAAAACATTCTCAGTAGCTCCCTCTTTTTCTGCAACGTAACCTTGGGGTTGAGATTTGGTACCTTCACTGTCTTCAGCCATTGCTCAGAAGTGCTCAGAATATGTAAGCTGATGCTATTGGGAAGAAAGAGGGCTTTCTTTCCCTTCCCTTGTTCCCTAGATGTCTGCTCCTTCCCTTCATCCGTGTTACCTCCCTGCGCGTTGCCACCTGTCACACAGGTGACACAAAAATCTCCTCCAGGATGAATGCATTTGATGGGGAACTTGAATGAACTTTTGTAAAGGACTTACGGTGAGCTATGACCCGGACTGGAGGCCTTTATTAATTTAACTGGATTTTACCAAATTCCATGGGGCTTGGAAACTAGATTCAGTTTCTAAATTACTTTGCAAATAGGACATCAATGGGGAATGCAGTCACATCTACCAGCTCAGCAGGAGACAAGATTCTTGTCTGTGGAGCGATCCCCAACCATTTTATTCCCTTCATGTCCTTGAAACAAATCAAGCTGCCTTATTCAGCTTTACTCCCCCTTCTGCAAGGCTGCCAGTCTAACCACTTTGCCAACAGCACCGCCAGTTCAGCACTGCCCATGGTAATGAGGCTCTACCTCTTCGGAGAGAAAGTGGAATGGCTAGAGGTGTGCTTGTAAAGAATCTCAGTTGCTTCTGAGATCCAGAAGGTTTCTGAGATATATATGTATATCTCACCTCTTATTCTCTTTGCTATACCAACCCTGCTTCGGCAACATTTTCATTCATGGTCACTAAGTTTCTCTCTTATAGTTTTGGGGTTTTTTTTTTTTCCAGCTGACCAATGATGGGTTCAACAGGGAGGCTGCAGACAATGTACAGAATAGTCTGCTCGCTTCACAGATGGCCGAAGTGGAGCAGGAATTTGAACAGAACTCAAAACTCGGTCCTACCATGGGGAGCTTTGATTCTGGCTGGGTACAACCCTGAATGATAAACCGTTTATCCTAGTAATGCTAGTGGTGATAATGGTGAAGTTCATGCTGACAGGCTGAGGCAATGGCAAGTGTTCGCCCTTGTATGTGAAATACCAGCACTGTTGCTTTCCCCATTGATGTTACAAGCTACTTTCTCTAGACACCATCCTCACAGACGGGTGCTCCCCTTAGACCTCACTGGTAGATGGGGCGGGGGTAGCAGATGATCTCCCCTTTCTCCTGCCATGCATGGGGGGCTGTTGGGACACCCTTGGTTCATAATAGATGTCAGTTATGATTGCAGGTGGGCTCATGCTTCCTTGGTCTAACACTCAAACCAGGTAGCATGGGCAATTCCCTCTAGTCATCTCTGTCCCTTCACAATTCTCCTTCCCTTCAGCACAATGGGTAAATGTATCTTGCTTTGATTTGGCTGTGGGGCAGAGATCCAAGGGAGATCTTTGGTTTATTTTGTCTCTGCTCAGGAGTGGTGGCACTGATTTCCTACCCGGTCACTCCTCTGAGCCCTTTTGTCTACCAAGAAGAGCCTCCCCCTGCCCCCCTTTCCCAAACTACATTTAGAAAGCAAAGCTTGTTCATAGCAGATCTGTAACTAAATCCAAAGTGATCCCCTTCTGGCTCTTGAAACCTGTCTCTGCGCTCTTAGTCCAAGGTTTGTGTGCACAGGCTGGCTTGGCCCTGGGTAAATACAGCAACTTCGTATTTTCTTGCTGCTCTCAGGTCAAGAAAGCAAGGTGGAAAGGCATACTAACATGTTTCTCTCACCTCCTTCACCAGTATCAGAACATTTTGCAAGCACTTACCTGCTACACAGAAAGCCACTGACATCCACTCTGTCTGTTTTTCTGTTCCCCCCCCTCACCCCAAGTTCTCTCAACTCATTAAAATCTTCAACTCGCTGGGTCCTGAGAAGTTCCCCCTCGTGGAGCAAACGTTCTTCCCAAGCCATAAGCAGATGGTGAGTACCTTTGCTTTCTTCTGACTATAGGGTGGTTGAGGGAGAAGTAATGACTGTCAGTTGGACACAAGAGATGGTGGTGGGAATGATGGGAAGAGCCTGTTTTACTTCCAGAGAATTACTAGCTGAAAGCAATATGCAAAAAGCAGTGCTCGGGAACCTCTTTCCTCCCCCAGGTCACGTACAGACCTTGAAAAAGTGAGAAATTAGAACAGGCTCAGCACCAAAACAAAAATCCATTGTAAAATCTAATCAACAAGAGCTGATCCCTTAGAGTAAGGAATCACTTCATTCAGATAAAGTGCATTTTTTCACCCTCCTGGAACTGTTGCAAATATGTTGACGATTTGGGCCACGGGCCATAAGAGATGTTTGTTTCACAGTGTGAGTTTGCTTGGTCTGTCACGTGGTTGCCATCCATGAAACATTTATAAGCCTGACTAGGTACTCAAAGTAAATTGGAGTTCTTCAAAAAGAGGTTGTTTCAGCTTGTAATGTTTCCTTTGCACAGTGGCTCTGGGGTCTAGCCTTCCTGTCAACAACTAAACACTCAGTGCCCTGTGTGGCTACTGGGCACAGTACCAAACTCCTAGGCCACCTTCCAAAGAGATCTGCGTAGGTTCCTTTAGTCCTGGAGAACATGGCAAAGCAAGCGGCTTTGTTTAAAACTGTTCATGTCTCTCATTTTCCCTGGGTTAAAGGGGTGGCTAGTCCTTCATGAATTTTTGCTCCCAACTTGCAGCCATGCATTAATGGCTTTTCTTACCTGGCTGAGGCTTTGATGAGACCCCGTGTGGGCCATGACACCCCCCTCCGTGTGAGCCATTGTCTGCCTGAGCTTATTTCCCACACTTGATTGTGAAGCCGAGCAGCATGAAGATTAGGGTTATTGAGATGTCAAACTAGGGCTCAAAAACATTCACACACACATACACCCTTCTCTCACACACTTGCAGCAACAAGTGGGCCAACCACAACGCATAATAGGGTGTAGGCACCTGATGGTGGATATAGGCATCTAGTGGGACCTTCAAAATTCAAAAGGAAGCCTCATTTAGCCTCTTGTGAAAAATCCCACTGGTGCTCGCCAGGTAGCTGGATACCTTGAAACACCAGTCCTTCATCGCTCTGTTCCAATACTGTGTTCTCCCCCTGTGCTGTGTGGACAAGAGCACTGCCATACTTCACAGGCACGTCATGGAGGTAAGTACAGTCATGAGTGCTGTGGAGAGCACTCAGGTAATGCCGCGGTAAGAGTTGTATTATCATGTAAGACATAAAGAAATGGCTGCTCCTTAAACACTACGTGACAGTTTGTTACAGACTTTTAAGACAAATTACTTGATAGATCTTGTTGCATTTAATCCCCACCAATTTATTAAGAGTGTTTGTGACATATGTAATGCTTCAGGACAGTTGTGACGTTGTGTAACCATCACTTCAGAAATGGTATTTTTCATAGAATCATAGAATGTTTTGGGTTGGAAGGGACCCCTAGAGGTCATCTAGTCCAACCCCCCTGCAGTGAGCAGGGACACCGCTAACCAGATCAGGTTGCTCAGAGCCCCGTCCAACCTGGCCTTGAATGTTTCCAGGGGTGGGGCCTCCACTACCGCTCTGGGCAACCCGTTCCAGTGTTTCACCACCCTCATTGTAAAGAATTTCTTCCTTATATCTAGCCTAAACCTACCCTGCTTTAGTTTAAAACCATTACCCCTTGTCCTGTCACAAGGGTTAATTTTTGGAAGATTTGATTAAGGTTCTCATTGCAAATATGTTAGCTAGCACTTTTAGCATTATTTTCTTGTCTGGAAATCTGATGATTCCTCAGCACATAAATACACTTGTTACCAACACAGCAGTTTGCTTTAGTAGAGCACTGATCTTAATTTCACATATTTGTCTTTATAACTGAGCACCTACTTGGAGATGCTATTGCTTACTTCCAAAAGAATACGGGAACCTTTTTAACTGTAGATAATCTCATGTGAACACAAACACTATTGTCAATATGCAAGCTTGAGTAATCTGGTTTAAATCAGTCCCTTTCCAAACATTTACACAAGCAACAATCCACTTGGGCATATTCAGGCCAGCCCTTTCCAGGTGTGTGTGGGGCAGGTCTGCCTCACGGAACGAACCTACGCAGCTTCTCAAGATCTTTTCTAGATGTGTTTTCACTGTGAAAGGCTGAGAGGGCAAGTGCTTAGGCCAAGCAAGCTCTGTTGCAGTCATCACTCCACCAAATACCCGTGGAAGTTGCTTGCCCTCTCTGCATCACCTTCTCCATGTGTCAGACAGGAACATAATGATCCTCATTCTCCACTCTTTTCTTCCCTTTCCTGGAGGCATTTTCGAGCTGCACCAGTTCGCACTTGTAAAATACACTGTGGTCCTTTGATGCCTGACCCCCTGGAAGTGTTTATAACTAGTGTTATGGTTTTACCTCTTCGCATTGTGCTATGCTTTAAGCAAGGAAGTTCTCATGTAAGAGATCCTCATCCTTCTATGTCCAAAACTTTCCAAAGCTTACTTCTTTAAACCTTTGGATTAAACATAGAACAGATTTCAAAGTCTGTTTCATTCTTTCATCCGTGTAGAGATTTTCCCAAGCTAAAAGTGAGATAAAGGAAATTTCTAACAGTAGGCCCATTTTTGTGAATATTTTAATTTAGTTGGGAACTCTTTCTCTGAAGCTTCCTTCTCATGACAACAGGGCATTTTTAACCAGCCTCGAATGATAAACATAAAGAGAGGGCACAAGGCTCAGACATTTCACAGAGGAAAAGATCCGAAAGATGAACCTCTCTTCCCTTTGCCATGGGCATGTACCTTTCTGCCGCCCCAC